GCCTCAGGGACTCAAGAACCTTTGATGCTTTGGGAAGGGAATTCCTTCACTTTGGACAGTCGTGGTCAGCTATGAATGGCCCTGTATGCCCTGTGATATCATTGCCATGTTACCAACAGGTCATGGGATGGTTGCAGCACCATTAAAACGTACACACCCCAGAACACCTGGGACTTTTGGATGGCTGCAATGTTTCAGAGATGCATCTCCCCAGGCATGGAAAACATTGCATGAATCTGGGTGCTGGGCAGACTCTACCATTGGATGCTGGGCAGACTCTAACATTCATAAAGAAGACCAGTGATCTGGATTTAGGATAGCCTGCAAAGCCAAACTGTGCTGTAGTCTGCCCTCAGACCTGTTCACACATGTCTCACTGGTTCCAATGGAGAACATCTGAGGGTGCTGACTCAGGATGTGCAGCAATGAGTTTTACAGGCTCTGCACGTGGCCACAGTTTGTTTCTGGTTGCTGGGTATCAGCTGCAATGCTGGTGTAGACATTGCATGAAAAAGAGGTAAAATGCTAAGCTCAGTGAGGCACAAACATGAGAGGGCTTTAGAAATCATGGAAGAGATGGAGGGCTGAACCATTCACCAGCAGACCTTAAATATCAATAAAGCAGGTCTTGAAAAAGGCCAAGGACCTTGCAGCTCCCATCTCAGAGAATTTGTGCACACACCAAAAAACCCTTTCTAAGGGGGAGGTTTTCCAGTATTCCAGTTCTAAAACAAGCCTGGCTGTGAGCAAGAGGAATGTGCTGACCTCCATGTGCCTGCGATGGCTCTGCCTGTTGGGATTCCATCCGAGCACTGAAGCCTTCACAAGGACTGGGAGCCTCCTTCAGGCAGAATCCAGCCTTCAAAAAGCAAAATCCAGATGCAGTCAAACTTGCTACCAGTCCAAGAGAAGGCAAAGGTGTAGATTTGAAGATGGCTCAATATTTTCCCTTTTTTATTCTAACAGTATTGTGCTCAGAGCATGACTTTGGTTGCATTTAAAGCCAGTGGAAACATGTGAGTGTAGATCCAGAAAGAATTTGACACTAAGTATATCATAATTATTCCGTCTTTTAAAACAGAATACAGGTTACTTAGCACTCTGATGCCTGAACCATCTGCAAAAAATTAGCTAACTAATGAACCAAAGTACATTGCAGCTTCTATGTGGGTACAAGGTGTTAACAAAATATATGCATCACAGTTTCCCTGTGCACATTATCAGCCATGTGATTTTTGGGGCCATGTGCTGAATATTATGTGTTTTCTTTCCTAGGAAGCTTCATTTCAGTTAATTGTCTCTCCCTTTAGCTCCTGGGGAGTACACAGAACAAGCTGTACTTCATCTTGAGTGTATATGAATGAAGGACTGGCAGGTCTGGGGTCCTGAAAGAGAGTGGGTTTTTAACTGGGAACATTTTGTGTTTATTCACAGACCCCAGGAAAGCTGACTTCTATTTTATGGAACTTTATTTTCAATATGGCTGTTCTGAAGAACTTGTCCTCAGAGATCTCCATCTCAAAAACCTCTCTATTCCTTGAGTCCAGACTCATAGGCAATTTATTGGGTTTTCTTTCCCTTGTTTTGGATAATTTGGCTTTTCTGCTTCTTTTTGGTCACTTGTTGAACAGTGGAGAAGATCTCCTGCTGGGTGAATGAGTGTGTTTTGCAGCAGGATGACCATCTCATGTCAGGCAGGATCACATCTTGAACTTGCTGGTGTTGGAAGGTGCAGTTTCTGCCCACCCATCACAGCCCTTCTCGGAGAAGGTGTGCAAATGCAACTAACTTTTAACATCTGGAGGCCAAAAAAAGTTCAAAGCCAGATTCACCTAGGAGGAAGGAGTAAGTTATTTCAGCAGCCCAAGATGCCAAACTGATGTCCTGAGAGGGAGGTTTGCACCTGCTGCCACAGGTAGAATTATTTCTGGATTTTGAACCTTGTTTTCACTCATCTGTGGCAAAATCTTGGCATTGTGCTCCCATGTAGAAGCAAGAAAGCACAGGCTGAACGCTCATGTTGCATCTCTCCAGGATCCTTTCCTAACCAGCTATCCTAAATGCAGGAAAACTGGTCTAGCTACAATGCCCAGCTTCTAAAACACACCCTATCTAAGATAGGCCTGGATCACAAACCTCCTCCAAACCTGGCTCAGAGCTTTTACTCCGTGGATGGAAGTGAGTGAAGACGGAGACTGAGTAAGAGACATTCTGACCGTGCTGCACAGACGCCTCACGAACGTCACCTTGCTCAGGGCAACCTCTCACGTGCACGACCCCAAGGGGAAAACAGACACTACAGGATGACCATAGGGAACCACTAATATCAAAACAATTAAAACAACGGGAACAAAACAAACATAATGGGACAAAAATGGACGAGAACTGTTCCAAAGAAACGCCATCGGATGGAAAATCAACATTCCTCCTTTGCCATTAGGCCCATAAGAAATTTGTTCTACATGCAGCCAGAATGAAAAAGAGGAAACAGAAAGAAATGTTAGGAAATTTTGGAATCATGCCTAGCAGAGGGATGTTTGGAGGTGCGAAAAATAAAGTGATCGATGCAATTTTCTTTCCTGTGGTTTATTTTTTCTAACAAGAATGATAAATGGCTCCTTCACATGCCAAAAATTACAAGACAGGTAGAGTGTTCCTGTTTGTTTGTTTTTATAATATCAAAATTAGGATACAAGATTGATGTTTAAATAAATAAATAAATAAATAAATAGAATCAGCCCCGTATCCTAATTTCCATATTTGCAAGACTGAAAACAAACAGTGGAGAGTGTGCAACAGAAAGCATCTCAAAGCTTCATTTGGAGGACTCTGAGTCATTTCAGAGCCTGAACCACACTGGATGTGAGAACTGCCTTCTGGACCATCTGCACTGGTGGTGAAGGTTGTTGCCTAGAAGTGGTCACATCAGCTTCTCTGAAGATACTGCTGGTATGGGAAGTGGTGAATCTAATGTGAACTGACTTAAGAAATGTAGTAATCAAAATCCTTGGGCCTCATCCACTACCAGCTGATACATCTTTGATTCTCTGAGCTGACTTTGGCTTGGGAGCTGTGTGACCAGACAAATCCTTCAGCAAATGCTCATCTGGTTTCTAGTAATACAGAGATCATGGATTAGATGTCTCTGCATTGGGTTATGTTAGCAGACAAGTAGAAGGTCAAACATACGCTTCTGGTCAACATGTTTTCATTAATAAATAGCTCAATAAATAACTGAATCAGTTGGAACATCATTCTGATTACTTAAAGCTATAGCTCCTGAGAATTTACTAAATCCTTACAACCCACATTCCTCACGATTGTAATGTGAGGAACTTGCATGTCTGCTGCTGAAAGGAACCATACTTCTGACATGGACCACCATCCCAGTTTGTGGACTGTGGTAATCATGCTCTGAGCAGGTCAGTTTTCATGATGCACTTTGCAGGGGGGCAGCTCATGTGCAGCAGCACGGCTGTGTGCAGTTCCCAAGCTCTGCTACTAACTCAGGTCTGTGCATTTAGGGATTTTTCTTTTTAAAGGAAGCTCTCTGAAGATATTTCACAGGCCAGCAGGCAAAGGCATGTGGCAGATGCAGGTCTGGGCTCAGAAATGCAGTATTTGTGCCCCTTTGGACTTGCCATAAATTTGGCGCTTGCCAGGATCTGAATTGACTCAGTGAATGAAAATGCTCACCCTCTGCAGGGCTTTTCAAAACGGTCTTCCCACCTCTTCCAAACAGCATTTCACTTGAGGAAACACCAAAATGCTTTCCCCATGAGAACTCCCTCTGCAAGCATGGATCCAAGCCAGGGTAATCCCATACTCTGCAAAGCTGTGCAGTTCACATGGCACAGGATGAGTGTCCCCTCCGGATAATGCTCTGTGAAACCAATGGTTACACCACAGCAGCCCCCTGCCATCACCTCATACAGCAGACACATTCATAGCGAGTGGATCAGCCAGGATCCAGTTTCCGAATGCAGGGCTTGAAGAATTTAATGCTCCCATTGCTGCTCAGTGGGAGGTGGGCATTATTCTTCCCTGCACATCACACTGAGTTTTCTCAGCCCTTTTCCTCCACCTCCCCCAGCTCCTTGCTCAGGCTTTCGTGATTAGCATGGCAATGGAGATTGAACTGTGTGCACACATTGATTTGCTGGGTGGTTTGGCAAAAGGAAGCAAATCCAAGCTACTTACCTCAGTGCAGACCCCTTTGGCGTTGCAATACCATAGCCTTTGGAGTCCAAGTTACCTCCCACCTTCATGGTGTCGCAGGGCTTCCGCTGCTCGATGTACTCATTCATGGTGGACTCCAAGAGGTATGCATACTTCCCTTTGGACTTCCTCACTCGGATCATCCCCTCTTCTGTCGTCCTCACAAAAACAGAGGGCTCGGCTGACTTCATGTATGTCCACATCTTCTCAAACACTGCTATTTTGGATCGCTGCGTAGGACAGCACAAACCCAACACAAGTGTTAACAGAGGTTCGGGTGCCCCCTGGGATTTCCAGCTTGGACTGAACACACACCCACATATCAGACGGGCCAAGGAAGATAAAAGGGGAACACAGGATACTAATGAACCTCCTGCCACTTCTGCACCAGGGCCCAGATCAGTCCCTCATTTCTGCCACATATTTGTGTACAGAGGGATTTTGCGGATCAAACTCAGGGAGAGCCAAGCTGGAAATCAGGAGACGGTTTCTTTTGGAGTTGCTCAGAGAAGCTCCTTGGTAACATGGGGAGGCACACAGATATTCCATATTTGTGTTCACAATTACAGAATATCTTATGTACTGAAGTCACTGCCAATCTTCTGGCAGGTCATAACAAGATGAGGGGAAGCAAGAGAAAAAAACAGACCTGAGCTGAGGATGAGAGAGGACAGGCCTGGAGGACTTGTCAAACAAGAGGCTAAGAAAAATGTTTGCATTAAAGTTTCCTTTTTACCCTAAAAAATTCCTTAGTGGAGCCAGCTTCCAGGGTCCCATAGGCAATTTCTGTCTGCTTGGCCAAGTCCTCTGCACTCTCAATGGGAGAAACCATCCTCTCCACGGTGAGGAAGGCAGCCAGGTTAGCTGTGTAGGAGGATATGATGATCAAGGTGAAGAACCACCAGACGCCACCAACTATGCGGCCGGAGAGAGACCTGGGCACAAAGGGGAGAGTCAAACAGGAGGAGGGTGAAAGTCCAAAAGCAGCAGCTTGCTCTTGAAGGCCCATCATTTACCTGGCCATTTACCCAAAGTCATGTTCTCCAGCCACTTCCAGGGAAGAAAAAGGTCTGTCTCAGTTCTTAATTTAACTTTTCAAGGTGTCATGTAATTAATGGGGTTAAAAAGTGCACAGTGAAAAAAAAATAGCAATAAACCAATTGAATTTGCTTTGATCTTCAATTCCTTTCAGGCTATATAATAATATCAGTAATAAGACAGGGACACAACTATGAGACAGTTTAGCTGGGCAGGGCAATGCCCATCCACAGCAGCTCTGACAAGGTTTGTGTTGTAGCATGTGTTCCTGGCAGGTAGGAGCACCAGAGCAGACACACAGCACAGCTGTGATCACTCAGTCAGCTCCTCCATCACCTGAAGTTTAAAAAAACAACCTCTGCATTTTTCTGTAAGACATATTGAAGCTCAGAGAGGACTTACGGTCTTAATGAATAATTTGCCTACTGACATTCTCTGTTTTGTATTCAGCAGATGGTTAGACAAGATGTTCATAATAATGCTTTAAAATCTAGGTATTTTCCATTGGCTGCAATCAAATAGCCAATTAACTGTAACCATTCAATAGCTGTAGAGGCAAATAAGTCAAGGAGGTATTAATTTGTATTAGAATCTTTTCAAATAATTTTAAGAGTGGAAGATAATCTTAGAATGATGTGTAGTATTCATGCATTCTGTCTAAATTATTTATATGCTCCTTCTCTAGATGCAGACCACTAACCCAGACAGAAGGGAACACACAATGCTGTTTGATAAAGCCAGACAGCCTGACTAAAGGGGACCTGCCTGTGAGAAACACCATTTATTTCTCCATGGGGGATCATGTCTCAGTATTGCCTTTCTGCTGATCTGAGTCACGCCACAGAAATATGGTTTATCAGATGGTAACAGAGATACCCCAGTCCAGGTAAGGGCTAAAGTTATAGGTGAGATAAATGTGGCCATTGTGCCTCCCATCTGCAGAGAATACTCAGCCTGCAGGACTGTCAGCACAAAAGACTTCACCTTTTGTTTCATATTTGGAGAGAGATTGGGGAGGGAGGCAGCTATGGATTCAACTCATACATCTTCAGATTGATGAGGAAGAGGAAAAAATTAGTCTGGATGATGTGTGCTCAGGGAAGGAAGCGCTCAGGAAAGGCACAGAGGCATTAAACAAAAGTAACCAGATAATGTCAAATACAACAATCTCTGCTGATGAAGGCCACTTTGAGCTGGCAAAATCCATTTACATGGCAAATAATCACATTCATCTCCAGCTGCAAATTATACAGCCTTTCCTTCCTGATGAAGCTGGGATATTTCTGCGACTTGTTTCAATCCCTTCAGCGCCAGTCAGCCGAATTCCTGCCACTAGACCCTCAGTATCCTGGTGATGTTCATTACCAGCTAATCCCACAGGGGCTGCCTGCCGTCAGCTGCAGATGGCTTATGCTTCCCAGCTCTGCACCTGGCATTTACAGCATGGAAAAGTAACTATGGGGTATTGAGACTGGGAGGTAACAGGGAGGGCTGGAGAAAGAGGGAGTGGGGGTTGTAGTTTCTTTCCCCTGGGAAACGGGTGGGGCAGGATGCACCATCTGGGCCGTGTCTGCTGCTGGTGCTGGTCGTTCCTCCTCATGGCATGAGATGCTGTGAGAAGGGGAGTGCTCACTCTCATAGGCTGTGGAGGAAAGGCAAGGAGATTAGCAGCTTGCTAGGTCTGCCTGCATGGCTGGGGCTTCGAGGGTAAGATGTTTTGTTGCAGACTCTGCTAGTGGGCAATGTTTGCTCTCATTGCTGGGTTGACTTGGAGCTAGAAGCTGTGAATCAGAACTGCTGTAAACACACAGCAAACACTCAGCATATGGGCTCTCTAGGACATGGTCCTTTGGCTCCGTGGTTGTGCAGCGTTTAACACAAGGGAGAGCTGGCCAGTGGTGAAGGCTCTGCGAGCACAGAGCAATACAATGAAGAATGTAATAAGAGTCGTGGTAAACATCACACAATCAGATGTGACCCCACGTGACACCCTCACGGCTCAAGAGCAGTGAACGCAGGTTAAACAGAACAAGTTGGATTTCTCTGGCTAATCATATCATATATTTAGATTCTGAGCTAATGCCTGTTACTGCTTACCATGGCAAGTGCTTGGAAAGGCAATATCCATTACCATCTTGTTCTGCTACTTCTGCGGACCGAGCAGGACAACAGCAGTGCCTCCATTAGGGGAAACATTTGCAAAAGTGCCTTTGTAATTTAGGAGATAATGTCCCATTTCTAGAAGTGTCTTCAATACTAGGGAGCTAAAAGCCTGGTCGAAAAATAGTGGGACTTGGAATTATGTTTATGCTTTAGTAAGAGCAGTCACAGAGGAGTAGGTAGACCTCATACTTGTAAGTCACTTCGAGGTTTTCAAAATCTCACTCTGGAGTTAGGTAACAGAAAATGATCTTCCACTTTACTAACAAATGTTCTGGAGCTTTAGATCCAGCTCAATTTATTTTCTCTTTGCTAATGGGCAGTATGGAGTTTAAATTCTCTTGCATGAATTTAAGTGTCCCTACACCTGTTCAAGCACAACCTGAAAGCAATCAGCTCTCTGCTAACGGGTTAGTAACTCAGTCCTCTGCAGAGCTAAGGTGAGATGGAGCACACTGGTTAGTACTTTCAAGATATGCTAAGGGTCAGATGTTTGGATCTTTCTATTTATTCACATTCATTATCACAGTAATACTTGCAAATAGCAGGATCTAAAAAAAATCGGGCTAAAATAAGCAAGGATAACAGTGAAAGAAGCTTTAATGAATGGCTAATTCTGGGATGCAGAAAGGGGTAAAATATCTAGATAGACTAGACTGCACATTTTTCAACCTGTGTTTTTCCTTCTGCACCTAGACTCTTCTTTCCTACACAACCTGAAGATATCTTGGTTTCTTCTTCTATCCCTGCCTGTGCTGTATAAAATCACACACATATCTGAACTCTTCTCCCTGACCTGGGATCCTGCCTGCCCCTCACAGAACAGCTGGCAAGAACAGGATGCTCCTTTAAAACACTACCCTTGCAGGAGTAAGTAGTAAATAGTCTGTCCTCATTATCCACAGTGCACGATCTACTTAAAATTAAAGCTGGCTGAGAACCAGGATTTCAACACCATGAAAAACTCTGAAATTATAAACAAACCCTTAATATTTTCATTTGGAATTTTAAAGATAACACTCCCAAATGTCCTCTAAAATTAGCACTCCAAAAACGGTTGGTTTGGGTCTACCCAAGCTTTGCCTTTTCCTATTACTTTAAGTTTAATTTCTGAAAGGTTAAATGGTATAATTTTGACATGGTAAACAATTTTGTTTCCTGCTTTCTCATTGCAAATAATTTTCTTTTGGATTTTATAATACGTTAAATCCTTACCTACCACATGTATAATTTAAAAGATAATTCTGAAATGTGCTATTTTATATCTACCTAATGGAAAAACTGCAGATGGCCAAGAGATGAAAATAATAATTTTGATTTTCTTACTTAGATGACTTTTTTAAAACCTTGCCTTGCAAAACCATCTGCATTTTGCCAGTAGAAAACAGAAAAGAATTATAAGTTCCCTTTGTTCCCATGAAGAGATTTGTTTTAATGTTTCAGCCTTAGCATTGAGGGATTCTTCACAGGAAAAGAAAATCATGCAACAATAATCTAATTTCTTAAAACAAAACGCAATCCTTGATCAAACAGTTCTCTCTTTGATCTTATCCCTCATGGAAGGCAGGAATTTGCCTCTGCTTTGCCATCTTATTAGAAGAGCACAATACATTTTTGCAAAAACATTAGCAAGATCATCAGAAACTATACAAAATAATCCTCATCGAAAAACTGCTCAAGCACCATCTCAGTTCTCTCTCTCCCACTTCTCCCTTCCCCCTCCCCAAATCCATTTCTTGTGGAGAATTACACCTAAACTGACAGTGTTTTAATTAGAAGTGCAAATCTGGGATTCTAAAGCCATAGTTGCTCTGGGAGGATTTCCCAGATTTCCTGTTAAATTCGAGTCTAATAAAGGCTCACTTAGTCAACTGACATATTTGTCACTGAATGAATTTATGCAAAACTGTTGAAAGAAAAGCTCTTCTATGCTTGTGCTACTGATTGTGGGTCAAATCCACTTTTGGTCTTCTACCCACACAGAGCCTCTGATCTCCAACACTACTCACTAAATTTGATACTGATCTACACAATTTCACGGCTCTCTCTGAAGTCTGCCTTGGTGGTGGATTAGTTGCAAATATTTTGCTCTTATTTTAAGCAAATTTTCAACATTAGACTTTGTCAATGTAAAAAGCTTTGCTTTTACTGTGTGTCACAGACCATCTGACATAATTGGTCTCATCACTTTCCCTCCTACCCTGACATTAACCCCAGATTTGCTCAAAAAGTCTGTGAATAGTCATAGGCAGAGGAAGAAACTCAGCGTGGAGTTGTGGAGCTGGGAACAGCTCTGGGTGTGTCCATCACACACAGACTGCAAATCTCTTATCCTCTTATGCTCTGCTATGCCACAAATAGTTTTCACTGAGCTAACAACTGTTTGTCACACAACTGAAATGATTATAACCCATGTTTCTCTGTCCATGCTGTATTATTAATTTTCTTAACATATTAGTTTGCTTTTACTTATATTGAACCCTATCTCCTGACGCAAGGGTCTGGAATCCTGGCTGCAGTGCTGGGCTTTAACATGAAGTTTTAGAATAGCCCTTACAAACACAGATTTAAGAATGTTTTCTAGTGACATTCTCATTTATCTCTCCCAGTAGTACAATTCCTTCTTCATCTCTCCTCACAACTTTTTTACAGAGCTTACAGCTACATATTTTGCTTTCCTGTGGATAACATTAGCTATTGAGACAGGGCAAGGAAGCTGAGAGTGCAGAGGTACTGT